GAGATATTCCCTGGGGAGGAAGTTTCCTAAACCTTTTTTTTTTTTTTTTTTTTGGAGAGATTTTTTTTCGCTATAGGGTGCATACACTCACCAGACAGAGAGAAACATAGAGACAGAAAGCGAGAAATCACCCCCCAGGGGGGATGGCCACGCCGCAATCCCTTCTCCTCCATTCTCCTCTCGGGATCTTGGGCACGCACGCACACGTGCCCGGCGTGAATTTTAAGCCACCAGGTCCGGGACATGAACCGTGGTTGACTACGTGGGAGTCCAGTGACATAGCCATTACGCTAACTGCTGGTTCCCTCCTAAACCATTTTGTACTATTAGAGTACTTCAAAATTTCTCTAAACAAATGAAACAAAGAAACAAAGAATAGCAACCCTTAATAATACAAAAGGTATCTCCTTCACAATCATGTTTCCAGTTCTGTATAAATAAAGAATCACTATGGCTATGGCAGATGAACTCCTTACAGGAAACAATACTGAAAATCACTAAGATAATTACTGCCAAATCTTATTTACACTGCCTTGGTATTACTAAACATTAAGAATTTACCATGCAGCATATTAATAAGGCCAAAATGTATCTTTAAAACAGTCAACTGTATATAAACTAATAGTATTATGTAACCAAATTGTATCTTTCTTCTGTGGGTCATGGATTGTTAATGTTATGAAAACTGTAGTTTCGGCACATTGTTTTACACCTCCATAAATGAAAGGATATACCATACCTTAACAGTATAATTGAAATATTTGGCAGACTGCATAAATCGATGGAATCCATCACTTTCTTTTGTTGCAACAGTTATAACTAATAATTTATCTGCAAAGACAGAAGGAAATAATATAAGAAGGTTTACCAAAAGGTTAAATGCTAATGTGATACAACTTTCTACAGTGATTATAGACCTGACCAAATACATGCAACTGCTTCGGTTTGTGAATGTACATGAAGCTAAACAAAGAGTTATTCAGATTGGTTATATGACTGTCAAACAACAAACCAGCAAATGATAAGTTATTTTCATGGTAAGAAAGGTCATAATGCTTAACAAAAACATGTCCTCAATAGAGTATTTCAAAGACCAAATTTTCCATTAAAATGCTATTTTTAATCTACTAAGACTCTCCTAGACATTATCTAACCAATCGGCTTCATTGTCACCTATAAATCATCCCTGACTTAGCGCATCAGTGAGGTCCCAAAGCACATTACGTTCCCCAAAACATGGGGAGGTGACAAGTAGCAACGTGGCTAGGGCACTGGACTCCCACATGACCAACTGCACTTCATGTCCTGGACCTGGCAGCTTGCTTTCTCACCTCCCCCCTGCCTCTCTGGTGAGCACACATGCCCTATAGCAAAATTTAAATAATAATAAAAAAGGCTTGAAAGATGTCTAGGTCACCGTTGGGCTACCACATTTGTGGCTGGTTTTTGTTTAAATGTCTAGAGGCTCCTTTGGGAAGTACAGCGTACCCAGCTGCCCAATGTCAGCCTTGGGCAGTAACCAAGGAAGCTGAGCCATGGAAGGGTCTTGAGTCATTCAGGTTTGTTCACACCTTGTATGTGCAGGCCCTGCGTGTAGTGCAGGCTCCGACCCTGTGGCCCAGCCAGGCCTCTACGAGGAGAACGCTGTGGGTGTTCAGGCTGTCCCGGCCGGTTCTCTTCCCCCCCCCCCCCCTGCCTCTCTGGTGAGCACACATGCCCTATAGCAAAATTTAAATAATAATAAAAAGATAAATAAATAATTACTTTCAAAAGATAGAATTAACATGAGGCAGGCCCCCTGGCACAACAGTTAAGCTTTTATGCATTGGGAGCTGGATCCCACATCGCCAGTGGTGGTTCAAATCCTGGCCATCCTTGAATAAACTCTCTGGGCATGTGTGGAGGTTATCAACATCCTGATAGGATACATAAATGGAGGGAAAAGTATTGCAGTGTGACCACAACCCACCGAGGGGCGTTATCTCTCTCTCTTTCTCTCTGGTGAGCATAAAAGCCCTTTAACACTTAAGAAAAAGTGTAAAATACAAAAAACACTATCATAAGACCTATAATCATAAGACCCATCCAAATTCTTTCAAATAAACTATGATAAGTTGGAAGCAAACGTTTAGAAACAGAATCTTAATTTTTCCATCCTTCCCACAAGTTTTTTTTTAAAGTTCTTAAACCCACAACATGTATGTGACTTTCAGTGTTTTTGTCTCTTTAAAGAATAAAGAGAATGAAAACTAACTTCATCCAAGTAAAATAAATAGCTTTCAGTGACTGTTTTAAAATGGATTATGATCTTCAAACTAATATACACACCCCTTCTCAACAGACGTAGGTAGAGTTTGGAGTTGTTTTAAAATACCTACAGAAGCGATCACTGATAATGCTTATCAGAGAAAGGCAGGTTGGAAAATGCATAAAAGCAGCAATATCAAAGGGGCCTGGACACTTTATTTAACCTCAGGATTTAGAAGAACCCATACACGAAGAAAGCAAAACTAGCGCCTTTTCAACATTGACCCAGTGAGTTACACCATTCGATTCACACTTGCCCATTATCAATAAGTAAGCAATCAGGAAGGTGTTAAATAGTTCCTAAGTAACAATCACTGAAAATAATATTCGTGTCTCATAGAAATCAATTAAAAACAGTTTCCTATGACCCAAAGTAATTCTCTAAATAAAATGATGAGATATAAGTACAGTATATATCAGGAAGTAATAAATTCAAGTACTCATTAGTCAACTAAAAAGAAGAAAGTATTTCCATGAAGACAAATAACGTTCTTTTTATCAATGTGTTTTCAAGAAAACAGTACACCATGGAGGGACCAGCAGGTGGCGCAGTGGTTAAGGCACTGGATTCCCACACGGTTGACCACAGTTCAAGTGCTGGACCAGGGTCACACTGGGTGCATTTGCATGTGCTCAAAATCCCAAAAAGAGAATGGAGAAGGGAGTGTGACATGGTCATGTACCCCACCCCAGGGTGATTTCTCACTTTTTCCCCACCGAGTGCACATGCCCAATAGCAAAAATCTCCCTCAGGAAAAAAATAGTTTCACCATCATAAGAAATAAATATTCCAAGAAAAAAATATCCTTTCATTAATACTGTCAAATACTGAGTAAAACATTTTCAGAATACTTTTCTAATTGACTCTTTTTTAAAGCAAAACTTTAGAAAGTTTCAGATAGAGCTTGACCAAGGAAGAAATTCAGTTTGTTAGCATCTGTAATAAATTCTGAATAGGGAGTGCCAGATTTTATTTGTAAGAATAGAGAGCACCTTTCTAACATCTCTTCTCTCTATCACAAATGACTCCACAAATAACGTTTTTACTTCATTTTTCTATATAAATCATAAGGATTCATCCAAGTTTAGATCTTGGCTGGGTGGACTTTTCACACTTAACCACTCCTAATATAAAATTAGCAGCCAAGACTTCTTCATCCTGAGCAGGAAAAGACCTTGGGGTAGCCAAAGTGCTACCAATCCAATGACTCCAAAAGCAAAGCATAAAATGTGTTATGTGATTGTGTTTAGCAATATGAAGCCAAATACGGCTCCTGCTGTTTTAGTTCGGTTGCTAATTATAATTTAAAAAGTTAATCTTGTTTAAGAAAAGATGTTTCGGGCCCATCAGATAGCTTGGCAGTAGGGTGCTAGACTCCCACATGGTTCATCGTGGTTTCAGTTCCAGACCTGGTGGCTTGCTTTTTCTCTTTCTCTCCCCCTCCCCTTGCTCTCTCTCTCTCTCATCAAGTTAAAATAATAATAATTATGATGAATAAAATAATTATTTTTTAAAGATGTTTAAGAGTATTACATATAGACAGTTGTTTTCCTTTCACCTGCTATTCAGTATCATTACTATGGTGAAAAATAACTGTGAATTAGAAAAACTGAAAGAAGATGGGGGCAGGTGGAGGCAGACCATTAACCGTGACTGCAAAGCAAAGCTCTGTGGGAAGGTTCCTTGTTCACATCTGGACACTTCCCTGAGTACCCTGGCCATGTGCATGCTAAGCCTGAATGGATCCTGGTGTCAAGACCTTGTTGTGGATCTGTGCTTTCTCGCTCAAGACATTTAAAAATCTAAAAAATAAATAAATAAATAAAAAGTGAAAGAAGAAAAAAAAAAGTGAAAAAAGAAAGAGCTGATATGTACCAATCACAAGCTTTTATCAACCAATGAGGGAATTTCAACTTTCTCACCATTTATGAAATATTACTGTCAGAAAATTAACCAACATTTGATACAAACTTTAAATTTTACTACAATCTACAGTAGAAATTTACCAAAAATGACCAAAAAAAGAGATGCCATCAACATAATCCAGAACAGGAGATATTCCACAGGACAAATGACCAAAAGAATTCAATGACAAATGGGAAAAAAGGAAAAGGAAAAAATACATTTTAATATACTGGCATAATCAAGAAACAGTTCAACCAAATGCAAACCATGAGCCTTAGTCAGGTCCTGATCAAATTAACAATAAAAATGTATGTCTAAATAAGTTAGGGAAATGTGATCACTAATGCAATATTCACTGATATTTAGAAAATATTTAAATTTAGTATGCTAATAGTATTTTTAAAAAGAGCTCTTTAGTTTAGAGACATAATGAAGTATCTACCCAATGACATGATAGAGTAATAGTGCCATTTGCTTTAAAGTTATCTGGAGTAAACAGGAGGCAATGGAAGAAAAGATAAAGATTCAACAAGGTCGACCATATGTGATAGTTGCCTAAACTGGAATACTTTTAAATATGTGTGAAAATTCCAAAACTTAGAGAGACTAACATTATGCAAAATCTCTAATCTTCCAATTAAATAATTATAGAACTTTGTTCACATGAATAAGAAAGGTGCAACGCATCCATATAACGTGGCAGACCTGAACAACCACATACCAAGTGAAAATCACTTCATGGCGACAATAAAAAACTTCTAGTCACTTTTACATAGTCCCCCCAAATGCCTAGCACTGTAGTCAAATTTAACCAATGTCTGTTAAGTGGCTGAATATCTAGTTCTCTATGAAAACTAGATAGATTTCAGAACTTCTGCAAAAATCAAAAAGTCAATTAAATAAGAAAGGCCAAAACATGCCAACAGTGTGGGGGTGGCGGGGGAGACAAGGGGACGTGTTATTAACGTCATTTTTTTTCCAAATAGCTGATAGTATCTGAACAGAATTTATCAATACTCATGGTGACTCAGTTTCTTTCTGAAATAAACCATGGGTTCTTTTTGTTGTTGTCTGTTTGATTTTAAAAGAATTATTTATTTATTTAATTCTATTTGTTGTTATTATTATTATTTTATTTGACCAGAGAGAAAGGGAAAGTAAGAAACCAAGCCGCCAGGTCTGGGACTCGAACAGCAGTCAGCCATGTGGGAATCCAACACCTTTATCCACTATGCCACCTTGAATTAAAACTATGGTTTTAAAAGAGAAAGTCTCTTTGCTGGAAAGTCACCCAATGCTCAGGCAGCACAGAAAGGCCATCTAAACAGCACTGCTTTAACTACCGCCCTGCACTAACTCAGCAGGAGCCCCAGCTGCCTGTGATCCCAGCTTCCCAAGAAACTTCACACAGGGTGCTTAATTTGAAATGGACCAGACTAAAGCCAGGAGCTCTGAGTCCACTTCTCACTGCAGCTAACTCATTGTATGACCAGACAGGTCTTCATCTGCAAAACTCCCTGGTTCTCAGCTTTCTACTCAAGGAACATTTTCTTAGTGGAGGTTGGTGTAGCACAGAGCTGGCAAGCCTTTGCTATGAAAGGCCAAACAGTAAATATTC